TTATTGGACTTTATAACGTCTGTTGTCCTCGGGGACAAAAACGTCCACAAAGTGTTGCAAAGGGCCACATTTTCACACACTGCTGTCAAACATCTCGGATCACTGATGTGTGGGGTCAAGCAACGGTCATAACCACCACAACAGGCAGCACAAAGAGGAGGCAGGCGCTCCACATTCAACGGTATTTACACAGCGCCGAATCACAACAGTCGCATCAAGGTGCTTCGTATTGTAAGGTCGACCCTACGTACACAGAAAGCAGCTCACAGGCCTCCACTGCTCTGGAGGCTTGTGAGCTAATTTTTTTACCATGTTGTGCAAAGCAATGAGCAGTAGGACAAAGCACATATTGTCCTCTAGGTCAGCGGTCTCCAACCTCTTTTGCGCTACAGGCCGGTTTATGGCCGACAATATTTTCACGGCCCGGCCTTTAAGGTGTCGCGGATAAATACAACAAAATAAAACCAGTACCGGTACCGAAAAAAAGATTTATTCATAACACACGTGAAAAGACCCAGGAAAACCGCGTAAACGATAAAAACAATAACATCACGCTGGAAACTGATAAAAACCCTGAAAACCAGACATTTCACACCTGAGCCTCAACTCTCACGACCCGGTACCGGTCCAAGGCCCGGGGGTTGGGGACCGCTGTCCTAGTATAATGAGGAGGGAGAATCAATGTTCAGGAAGATCCAGGGTTAGAAGATATAGAAAATATTGTCAATATTTAGAGCACATGCTACCCTTTCTCTGAAAAAGCACATCAGCCACCTGCAGAAGTGGAAGAAGGCTATGAAGTGAAGAAAAGTGATGAAGAATCTGAACTATGTTCAAGTAGGTTCTCAGGCATCCAGGACATGGTAGTCTGAGGAGCTTGGAGAGAAAGTGACTGGGCTTCTTGAAGTTTCTTGAATTTTCAGAATGTGAAACTGAAATAGAAGATGTGTCAGAGGACTACACATCATCCATTTCAATTATGATGAAGACAAAGAATCAAGCAGGAAAGAGGAATCAGCTGAGACAGAGGAATATTTGCAGTAACGTGAGGAAACACTGACCTGGTCTTCTAACCTTCCCAGTGACAGACGATGCCTGACTCTCTCATGTGCCTCAGAGAAAGATGATCTACCACAGTCCAAGCACATGTGCCAGGTCCCATACTCCTTCAGTGGCTTTTCTACTCGAGTACTGAAAGCATTATACACAGTGTATTCTGCTTGTATTCTGCTTTTTAACGTTCACATGCCAATGGATGCATCAGAGACCAAGTTGGGGTTCAGTAACTTGCCCAAGGACACCTTGGTAAGAACTCCAGACTAGAGCACACAGAGATTGAACCAACAACCATCCAATTAGCAGATGACCTGCTCTACAGCCAACTCAATGATGAACAAGGAGGGACAACAAGAGAGGAAGAAAAATGGACCGAATGCAGCTGTAGGCATATGTGGGTGTGTTGATTCTTACTGCCGCGCATCCAGTAGAGTCGCTACGGCCAGTTTATGACATCCTGAGTCTGGTAGAGAAGTTTTCATGCTGACACAAGATTAATCATAGAAGCACAAAAAGGACATAATTTCTTGATAAAGACACAATAGATGATCGTCGTTCATGACACAAACGTGCTCCTGTGAGGTGTATGATGTGTGTTGGTGTTGACTTGACTTGAAACACAAGTGGGTGTTCCTCCTGCTGTGATGTAAGATCCTGGTACTGATGTGACTGTATGAGCACCAAGTCCCCTTCAGAGGACTCTGTCCAACAGAACATCCAAGTAAACCAGGGAACTTTGAGACAAAAACATGGGCAGCATGTGATGCAGGTCCAGCTGTACATGGAACATGCTCGTGTGCGATGGCAAACCGTCTGTCCTGCAGTCAGGACACGAGTTGTCCCTAACATTGCAGGTTTCCAAAAGAAAACAATCACCTGTAACAGCTTGTTTACTGTATATGCCCCTTGGCCTGCAACTGCAGAAAGAATGCTGTCCATGATGGGACCAGTGCAGAGGAATAAACCTGAGCTTCCTCCTGCACTTGGGTCAAATATGGACACGCCTTTGTCCTCATGAAAGTTTGCCTTCACTCAGACTCATGCCCTCCTACCATGCCAAAATATAGAAAACTGTCAGGCAATGATAAATATAAACACTCAAACGAGACGGGGTCATTTTGGACCCCTGAGGACAACAGGTGTGATTATGTGCTGCCAGTAAAAAACTTGAAGTAGTTTAAAAACAGCTTTCTAAATTAACGTTGACATAAACCCGTCCGTGATCATCTGTTAAAGCAGCCGACTCTGGTTGAGAAACGATCCTCACGATAACTGATGATTTAATTTATTTTTTACCCGAAAACAAAGAAAAAATTCATTTTTATGAGGTTTTATCAGACTTAAATTTGAAATGGAAAAAAGAAATTGTGTCAAAATGTTTGAATTAAGTTTTAATTAAAAGTGGGGAAAAATCCACTTCATATTAATTATCAATCAAACCAGATGGGGACATTTTTGACCCCTGAGGACCACGGGTGTGATTATGTGCTGCCATTTAAAATTTATAAACGCTTGAAAACAAACAAAACAAAAAAAATTCTCACTAAAGTTCAACATACAGCACTCTGCAGTCAGATAGTCAAAATAATCTAAACATTTAAATATTTTATTGTCTCATTTTATTTCCGCTCAAAAACAGAGTGTACTTTATGTAAACAAGGGCTGGTGAAAGGTAGATTTTGTGGTAATATGCTAGTCTCAAGTAAACGTGGTGTAACACTGGATTGATGAAGAGTCGCAGCAGAACTCTGCACACATCAGAAGCCTGAACGAGGCTGTGAACTATTACTGAGCAAATACAGGGCCGTGTGCCGCGGTCTGAGGTGATCGTGGATTCACTGAATCACAATCCATCTTCATGACCACCTGTGATGGTTGATTTCCACTGAAGGTTAACCGAACATAACGAACATTTCTTGACAGGGCTGTCCTGGTTGACACGCCTCTGCAATGTTGCGTGGAGATCAGGGGCAGTACCTGTGGCCTGGCAGACCGGGGTGGTGGTCCCCATTTTTAAGAAAGGGGACCGGAGGGTGTGTTCCAACTACAGGGGGATCACACTCCTCAGCCTCCCTGGGAAAGTCTATGCCAGGGTGCTGGAAAGGAGAGTTTGTCCACTAGTCGAACCTCGGATACAGGAGGAACGATGCGGTTTTCGTCCTGGTCGCGGAACAGCTCTTTATCCTCTCCAGGTTACTTGAGGGTGCATGGCAGTTTGCCCAACCAGTCTACATGTGTTTTGTGGACTCGGAGAAGGCATTCGACCGTGTCTCTCGGGGTGTCCTGTGGGAGGTGTTGCGGGAATATGGGGTGTCTGGCCCATTGCTACGGGCCATTCGATCCCTATATAACCGTTGCAAGAGCTTGGTTCGCATTGCCGGCAATAAGTCGGACTCGTTCCTGGTGGGTGATGGGCTCCGCCAGGGCTGCCCTTTGCCTCCGGTTCTGTTCATAATTTTTATGGACAGGATTTCTAGGCGCAGCCAAGTGGCGGAGGGCTTTCGCTTTGGTGGCCTCAGAATCTCATCTCTGATTTTTGCGGATGATGTGGTTCTGTTGGCTTCATTGGGTGAGGGCCTCCAGCTCGCACTGGAACGGTTCGCAGCCGAGTGTGAAGCAGCGGGAATGAGGATCAGCACCTCCAAATCTGAGGCCATGGTTCTCAGCCGGAAAAGGGTGGAGTGCCCACTCCGGGTCAGGGACGAGACCCTGTCCCAAGTGGAGGAGTTTAAGTATCTCGGGGTCTTGTTCGCGAGTGATGGGAGAAGGGAGCCGGAGATCAACAGACGATTTACATCCCTGCCCTCACCTATGGCCACGAGCTGTGGGTAGTGACCGAAAGAACGAGATCGTGGATACAAGCGGCGGAAATTAACTTCCTCCAAAGGGTGGCTGGCCTCTCCCTTAGAGATAGGGTGAGAAGTTCGAAAGGAGCCTCACCCAGGAGGCGCCCCCTGGGTGAGGGGGGTCTGGGCTTCTCTGCTTGGGCTGCTGAAGCTGAAGAAGATGGACAGATGGAGAGTTCCTGACATTTTGAAAGCACAGCCGGGCTTTCTAAGCATTAGCTGGTTGGACTAAACCTGCAGCCCTCAGAGACGCCCTCTCTGCTCACCAACAAAACTATTCTGCCCCGAACAACACAGATGAACGTTGCCTACTCCAAACAGAGATGACGAAAAAAAAAGATAAAATGCATTGTTTGGAAAATCATTTTCATGCAGAGTAACCTCAGTGCTGCTGTTGATTTCTAACATCACAGCTGCACATTAGAACCCTCAGAGTGGATCTGTCCCAGTGGGGCAACACTGCACTTTACATGCTGAAAAGAATGAATGAAAATCTTAAACCAACACACCTCTCATGACCAGGTTATTTAGGAAGGAAAAGACCAACAAAACCAAGCAGAGGGGGAGGAGCAAAGTGTGCACGCCACATGTGCAGCAGTGGTGTTTGCACAGACATGTCGGAGGGAAAACTGAAACCGAACGTGTTCAGGCCCTGAGTGGCTGCGGACTCCGAAGCAATTTTGGCCACATTGATGAGCTGATCACATGATTTCTGAACATCCCCTCATTGGAGGGAGTTTGTGCTCCCCCCATAAAGTCACGCTAGTGTTTCTACACCACTCTGCATTAGTTATTATTCATCTCTGGCTCTCTCCCACAGCGTGTCTTTTGTCCCGCGTCCTTCCCTTCAAACCCAACCGGTCGCAGCAGATGGCCCCGCCCCTCCCTGAGCCTGGTTCTGCCGGAGGTTACTTCCTGGTAAAAGAGTTTTTCCGTCCCACTGTCGCTTGCTCATAGAGGTTGGTCTTTTTGTGGGGTCTTAACCCTGCACTATAAAACATCATGAGGTGTCGTGTGGAACTGCGTGTGGACGAGGTCTCTGAAAACAAAACGTACTGCACCAGTGCAAAGATGACACCAGACCAGCAAAGCAGAGCCTTTGGTATTAATGTGGTCAGCCAGACACTTTTAATTTGAATTTTTTAACAATAATCATAGAACCTGATCGCTGTCAAATGATTTAAGTACACCAAAGAGGCCTGTAGCTCTGCAGAACTCAGACCTGCTCTCCCTCCAATTCTGCTGCTCAGAAACAAAATAAAATTAACCTTAAAAAAAAAATTAATAATAATAATAATAATAGGGGGGTGGGGGGCATACAGCGTCACTCTTACCAAATGTCACTCTCCCCCTGTGAGTAAGTGCTTGGTGGAAAGAGAGAAAAGGAACAGACAAAAATAGTAATCTCAAGGTTGCTTGTAAAATTACTTATAAATGTAGATAATATTTGTATATAGGTAGATAAAGTTTGGTTGATTTAAGGGGGATAGCAAGAACGTAAAGGTCAATACAATCAGAAGGTCTTAGCTCACTAGCTAGGTCAACAGAGAACCGGTTATACATGCACTAAAGTAAAAGAAGAGAAAATTGAGATCATATCCAAATCTGAAACTACCCAATGAGTCTCTGATGCCAGATTTTTTCTTTTTAAATAAAATGGCTAATTGACATTATTGCACATGAGCAAAAGACAGTAATACTATTAGAGCTCTGTTCATTGACCCGCTTCTCCTCCTCTTCAACAGAGCGTCCTGAAGCACTTCAAAACATTCAGAAACCTGGTGACGTACGATGGTGAGGATGTTTCATCAACAGCGACCAAAACCAAAAAAACCCAAACACTGGATAAAACCTTGATGTGAGGACAGAGGAGACAACCAGCAGAGATGAAGGTACAACACTTACATCATTGTGCTATAATGTACAGTAAATGGCTGCATAAGTGCTTTTTCTTAAGCTTGAAGGAAAAACAACGTATTTATTGTTGAGGCATCATTTAAAGTTGGCCTGTGCTATCCATTCGGGGTGCCCATGTAAAATCCCAAAGGGTGGGAAGCGGGAGAGTAATGTTTGAGGACATAAAAAAATAGCGGTGACGATGTTACCCCTCGGACTCTGTCGTTTCAAAGATCGCTGCTACATTAAAACTGCACGGGATCATGTGCAACATCAGGAAAAGGCTTTGAAGAAGATTCCTCTGCACTCTGCTCCGTCTCGCTTTTTCTTTTTTTGTGTGGGGGGGGTTGTTTTTTTACATGTCCTGCCGCCTCGTTATTGGTGTCGATTGGCAGTGTCCAGGTCCAATAACATGGCAGAGTGATTCAGTAAAAACACCGTAGTTGCAGTGAGGTTATTTAGGGGAGTCACTCTGGAGGAGGCTGACAGTCTGCGTCTCTCAGGGGCTGCGGCGCCCATCGCGCTCACACGGGCCCGTTGACCGACACTTCCTGGGGTGGTGGCGTTTCCTCTCTGTTGGGACGACAAAGGAAACAGTCAGCTGCGTGCAGGAGACACGATGCACGTCCAGCACTACATGTTGTTAGACTGCAGTCTGTCTGCTGCCTCCGTATGGAACAGGCTGCTGCTGCTCCAAGTACAAAGTTTTGCCTCATTGTGTGAGTAGCATTTCCTCGTTTCCCATTTCAACCACAAAGCTGAACCGATAACCCCGAGCTCCACTTCTGAGAGTGGCATCTCCCATTATTCCCCCAAATGCACAAACTTTGACACATTCACCTCCACTAACATGAATACAGTGCTTTACATTTAGTGTGAATGCAGCAACTAAATATTCTCCTGGTATACAAACATACTTTAACAACTAAACGTACTTAACAAAGATGTGTTTTTAAATCAGAAAGTGTAACCCGAGTTAACTGATTTCATGATTCTATGGAGGCTACGTGTCTGCTTTAGACAACAACATGTTACAAGCAGCAGCAGTGGCCTCTGCAGGCACTCAGCAGACTCCTCCCCCCCGCTGGAGTCTACATGATTCAAAGTGTGCAGCCCACTGCTGAACAGCGTCAGCTCGTCTGTGAGCGTGTATGAGCGACTTGGCTTTCACATATACAATCATGCTGTGTGCTAAAGCATTATTTACTATTGCATATAGCACCATATTTACTGCATTTCTTTGCATTACATGCAAAGAAATGCACTAGGAGCCGTTTCATCTTTCTACCCCTCCTTGAATCGCTACCTTATCGTGGTGGAGGGGTTTGTGTGTCACAGGGATCCCAGGGGCTATGTTGTCTGGGGGCTTTTGCCCCCTGGTAGGGTCTCCCATGGCAAATTGGCCCTGGGTGAGGGACCAGACAAAGAGCGATTCATAAGACCCTTATGAAAAGGACATCGAGGGAACAGTTTACCCTGCCCGGGATAGGGTTACCGGGGCTCCGCCCTGGAGCCAGGCCCGGGGAGGGTGCCCGAGGGCGAGCGTCTGGTGGCCGGGCCTTAGTCCATGGGGCCCGGCCGGGCACAGCCCGAAGAGGAGACATGGGCCCATCCTCCCGCAGGCCCACCACCCGCAGGAGGCGCCATAGGGGTCGGGTGCATTGTGTGCCGGGTGGCGGCCAGGAGCGGAGGCCCTGGCGGACTGACCCCCGGCTGCCAAGACTGGCAATAGGGACATGGAATGTCACCTCTCTGGTGGGGAAGGAGCCTGAGTTAGTGCGTGAGGTTGAGAGGTACCGGCTAGATATAGTCGGGCTCACCTCTACACATGGCTTGGGCTCTGGAACCTGTCTCAGTCTGGAGTTGCCCCTGGTGAGAGGCGGCGGGCTGGGGTGGGTATTCTAATATCCCCTCGGCTTGCTGCCGGTACGTTGGGGTTTTTCCTGGTGGACGAGAGGGTTTGTTCCCTGAACGGGTCCTGACTGTCATCTGCGCTTATGCGCCGAGTGGCAGTTCAGAGTACCCAGCCTTCTTAGAGTCCCTGGGGGGGGGGGGGGGGGGGGGGGGGGGGGTGCTGGAGGGTGCTCCACCTGGAGACTCTGTTGTCCTGCTGGGAGACTTCAATGCTCACGTGGGTAATGACAGCGAGACCTGGAGGGGCGTGATTGGGAGGAACGGCCTCCCTGATCTGAACCCAAGCGGTGCTTTGTTATTGGACTTCTGTGCTAATCACAGTTTGGCCATAACGAACACCCTGTTCGAACATAAGAGTGTCCATAAGTGCACGTGGCACCAGGATGCTCTAGGCCGTAGGTCGATGATCGATTTTGTAATCGTATCAGCAGACCTGCGACCATATGTTCTGGACACTCGGGTAAAGAGAGGGGCTGAGCTGTCAACTGATCACCACCTGGTGGTGAGTTGGATCAGGTGGCGGGGGAGGATGCTGGACAGACCTGGTGCACCTAAACGCGTAGTGAGGGTGTGCTGGGAACGTCTAGCAGAGGCCCCAGTCCGCGAGATCTTCAACGCACACCTCCGGCAGAGCTTCAACAGCATTCCGAGGGAGACTGGGGACATTGAGTCCGAATGGACCATGTTCAGCGTCTCCATTGCCGAAGCTGCTGCATTGAGCTGCGGCCGCAAGGTGGTTGGTGCCTGCCGTGGTGGTAATCCCCGAACCAAATGGTGGACACCAGAGGTGAAGGGAGCCACCAGGCTGAAGAAGGAGTCCTATCGGGCTTGGTTAGCCTGTGGGACTCCGGAGGCAGCCGACAGGTATCGACAGGCCAAGCGGAATGCAGCTCGGGCAGTGGCTGAAGCAAAAACTCGGGTGTGGGAGGAGTTCGGAGAGGCCATGGAAAAAGACTTTCGGACTGCCTCGAAGAGATTCTAGCAAACCGTCAGACGTCTCAGGAGGAGAAAGCGGTGCTCTACCTGCACTGTGTATAGTGCTGGCGGAGCGCTGCTGACGTCGACTGAGAAAATTGTCGGGCGGTGGAAGGAATACTTCGAGGACCTCCTTAATCCCACTGACACGTCTTCCGAGGAGGAAGCAGAGTCTGGGGATGAGGGGAATGACCCGCCAATTTCCGGGGGGGAGGTCACTGAGGCAGTTAAACAACTCCTTGGTGGCAGAGCCCCTGGTGTTGATGAGGTCCGCCCCGAGTTCCTGAAGGCTCTGAACGTTGTAGGGCTGTCCTGGTTGACACGCCTCTGCAATGTTGCGTGGAGATCAGGGGCAGTACCTGTGGCCTGGCAGACCGGGGTGGTGGTCCCCATCTTTAAGAAAGGGGACCGGAGGGTGTGTTCCAACTACAGGGGGATCACACTCCTCAGCCTCCCTGGGAAAGTCTATGCCAGGGTGCTGGAAAGGAGAGTTCGTCCGTTAGTCGAACCTCGGATACAGGAGGAACAATGCGGTTTTCGTCCTGGTCGCGGAACACTGGACCAGCTCTTTATCCTCTCCAGGATACTTGAGAGTGCATGGCAGTTTGCCCAACCAGTCTACATGTGTTTTGTGGACTCGGAGAAGGCATTCGACCGTGTCTCTCGGGGTGTCCTGTGGGAGGTGTTGCGGGAATATGGGGTGTCTGGCCCATTGCTATGGGCCATTCGATCCCTATACAACCGTTGCAAGAGCTTGGTTCGCATTGCCGGCAATAAGTCGGACTCGTTCCTGGTGGGTGATGGGCTCCGCCAGGGCTGCCCTTTGCCTCCGGTTCTGTTCATAATTTTTATGGACAGGATTTCTAGGCGCAGCCAAGTGGTGGAGGGCTTTCGCTTTGGTGGCCTCAGAATCTCATCTCTGCTTTTTGCAGATGATAAGGTTCTGTTGGCTTCATCGGGTGAGGGCCTCCAGCTCGCACTGGAACGGTTCGCAGGCGAGTGTGAAGCAGCGGGAATGAGGATCAGCACCTCCAAATCTGAGGCCATGGTTCTCAGCCGGAAAAGGGTGGAGTGCCCACTCTGGGTCGGGGACGAGTTCCTGCCCCAAGTGGAGGAGTTCAAGTATCTCGGGGTCTTGTTCGCGAGTGATGGGAGAAGGGAGCCGGAGATCGACAGACGGATTGGTGCAGTAATGCAGACGCTGCACCGGTCCGTCGTGGTGAAGAGGGAGCTGAGTGTAAAAGCGAAGCTCTCAATTTACCGGTCGATCTACGTCCCTACCCTCACCTATGGCCACGAGCTGTGGGTAGTGACCGAAAGAACGAGATCGCGGATACAAGCGGCAGAAATGAGCTTCCTCCAAAGGGTGGCTGGCCTCTCCCTTAGAGATAGGGTGAGAAGTTCGGCTATCCGGGAGGGGCTCAGAGTAGAGCAGCTGCTGCTCCACATTGAAAGGAGCCAGCTGAGGTGGTTCGGGCATCTGACAAGGATGCCCCCTGGGCGCCTCCTGGGTGAGGTGTTCCAGGCATGTCCCACCGGGAGGAGGCCCCGGGGCAGACCCAGGACACGCTGGAGAGATTATATCTCTCGGCTGGCCTGGGAACGCCTTGGTATTCCCCCGGATAAGCTGGAGGAGGTGGCTGGGGAGAGGGAGGTCTGGGCCTCTTTGCTTAGGCTGCTGCCCCCGCGACCCAGCCCCGGATAAAGCGGATGAAGATGGATGGATGGACCATATTTACTGACCTGCTTTACTTCGTGACTACTGTTGTGCAGCGTCACATTTTCTTAGCAAACCCATGATGCATTGCACTGCAAATGCAGGATAATTGTGCAGTTTTACATGCAAAGAAATGCACTAGGAGCCGTTTCATCTTTCTACCAAACTACATCTGCTAACACTGTGCAGAAGGAAGTGTGACGAGAGGCTGATGCTCGAGGCAGCAGGAAGGATGGAAATACTCATGTCTCTCCAGCTGAGCTGACATGCTTATTAATCTGTCTCTCTTCAACAGCATGTCTTTATCCTGTCTTCCTTCTCTCACCCCAACCAATCACAGCAGATGGCCCCGCCCCTCCCTGAGCCTGGTTCTGCTGGAGGTTTCTTCCTGTTAAAAGGGAGTTTTTCCTTCCCACTGTCACCAAAGTGCTGCTCACAGGGGGTCATATGATTGTTGTCTGCATGCATTATTGTAGGGTCTACCTTACAACATAAAGCACCTCGAGGTGCTTTACTTCCTGGCTACTTACTTCCTGTCAGTCTGCGTGTTTACAGGTAGATCCTCAGCAGGCTGCTGCTCTGAAGCTGTAGGAGGATCTGACAGGGAGAGCTTCTCCAGAGACACCGGACACTCCTCACTGCAGAACACACACACACGTATAAATGTAACATTTATTATGCTTTTAGTTGTAAAACCAACCTGGGAGACCAGCAGAGGGAAACAAGCTCAGAACAGCTACGCTCATGGACACTCGTGCAGAATGCATCATTTTGGAACGTGAAGACGGCCAGCTGTCCATTTAGTTTGGAGCATGTGGAAATGAAGGCTGAGTGGTCAGATCCACTAGTGGCATACAAAATGCTCATGATCTGTGTGGAGCTCAGCTGGCTCCGTGTTAACATGACAAACTTTAGCTCCGGGGTGAACTGTACTTAGAAAGGCGAAGCTCAACTGAATGCATGCAGCAATTTCAAATTCCAGCGCGCTCTATAATTACATCAATGTGGTAATTATGTTTCAAATATAGATGTTTGTACACACACAGAGGTTGTGTGTGTGCAGCGTGGACAGTCTCAGGACGTTTGTTTTTCGGCGCTCATGCTTTACTCGCCGGATACGTTTCACTGAGCTTTAAACGCCCAACTGCTTTCACTGATATGACACATTCTGAAAGACGTGACGACGCACACCTTTTGAGGTCCGCCGTCTTGTTGCCCGGGGCACTGGCTGTTTCTAAGGTGGGAGGAGCACCAGCATTTTTGTCATCCTCCTCGCTGTCAGAGCCTCCGGAGGAGCTGCTGTCTGAGGCCACGAGTGGAGCCTTTCTCCCTTCTCCTGCTGGACCAGGGGAGGTACTAACATCTGCTGACAGACACGTGCAGAAAAATACTGTTATTACACTTTTCTTCATTTATTGCTCCAATTAAGAACCGGTGTTCCTGAGTTGGACATGAGTTTAGGAGAGGATCTGCCGGCCGGAGCGGTGACGTGCGACTCACCGCTCTTCTCGTGGTTTTGTTTGGCTTGTTTATCGACATCACTGCTGCCCGTTTCCACAGGAGAGCTGCACCTGGGATCTGTCTTTGTACTGTGGGAAACCAGGAAGAGAGCATTGAGCATTGCGTTCCTATGAAAACCGTCACCAGTGCGGTCTGTGTGACTGCTCACCCAGAGAAAGGCTGGAACTCAGTGAAGTTAGCCCAGCCAGTCTGCTGTGTCTCGGTCGCGCTCCCTGCTGAGCTCTCCCACCCGGGGGAGGTTTGGGATGCTGCGTTCTCTCCAGAATCCCTGAAATTTGCTGTCCAGCCAGGACCTGGAGATGACACCAAACACTTTTAAGACCTGAGAGGCTGTTCACAGGTCAGTGCGACATTTGGCTGCATTCCCATCTACCCGAATCTGACGTGTTCTGCTCAGAGTCTTCGTCCTCATCCGATTCAGATGCACGGTCCCGCTCCCGACCTCCGTTTTCCATGCTGCTCCTGGAGCTTCCCTCTGAGGTTTGAGAGACCCCGAACCTGGAAGAAAGGGAGAAGCTCATTAAGTTAAAGGTTTAATGAAACAAATCCACGGCATGCAACAAAGTGCAGTGAGGATGAAACACGGCATCAGCTTGACCTTGTTCTGGATTTAGCTTGAGTTGCATAGTTGATCTCCTTATCGTCCCAGATATCCTCCTCCTCTTCAGCATCATCAAACTGGCGTATCCTCTCTTTGCAGCAGGCTTCAAATGCAGCTGCGTTGGCCTGTGAACAATGAAAGGAGAGCTTTCAGTGGGTTAAACATCGTAACATCGTGGACATATTTATGAAGGAGCGTGTTGTGACTAATTAGCAGTGATGCGGTCCTTTCACTGCACAGCAGAAACACGCAGCTCACGCCCATCACTGGACGAGTTTTAAAGAATCACACACACTTACACTGTTATCATCAGCATCTAGATTGAAGTTTATTTCGGCGATTCTGTCAAACGTAGCGCTGAGGAGGGAGAACACACACAGAAGCAACAACACACACATTACATGTTTGGGACATTTCGATAAACTCTGCGACAGCTCGAGCCGCCTCCTCCTGTGACACCTGGAGGGCCAAACTATCTGAACAAAGACACCAAAGCTATCCTATGTCGCTGTAAGCCAGCAGTCAAACATGCTGGCCGCTGTTGCACTACACACATGATGCCAAAAGAATCCCTGGGAACTACAGATCAGGATGAAAACTCTGAACTCCTTTCCTTAGAAGACTTACTTGATATTTTCATCATGTTCGCTAAACTCCTCGTCGTTGAAGCCAAACTGATCCACAAAGCTGGCAGTCATCTGTTGGATCTGATAGTCTGAGAAAGCCTGTGAAGTTCAAGCACAACTGGTGAGCTCATACTTTTGTTCCTGGTGTCATCGTGAGTGGTGCGGCAGCGTGTTAAGATTTGCTTCTGAGCGCGGCTGCGATACCTGTTGGAGCGACAGGTCGTTGGGGAAGGGGCTCTCCATGTCATCGTCCTCACTGGACGAGTGCATATTGTGAGTGCTTACCTGCAGGACAGAGTGCAGAACAAGCTCAGTGTAACAGCGCTATGAGGTGTGTCAGTGTATTGAATGTACATAGGTCATGTAGGTCAAGACACTTCGGAGTTGTTGCTGCTGATATTTTTTATTTATTCGATAAATCATCTCAAAGCTCAAATTTGCTGAAAAGGTTGTCTGCTCTGCTGTGGGCTGCACGCTCCTGTCCTGATTAACTGCTGCTGCAGGACGCAGAGCTGGACTTAACGTGGGGGAAGAAGAGGAAGAAGAGGAAATGAGACTTACAGCACTGTGCAAAAGTTTTAGGCGGGTGTGGAAAAAATGCTGCAAACACAAAGTTTCAGAAATATAAATGACTGTTTATTGGCCCCTAATGTATTCTGCAGCAGGACAACCAGACCAGACAGCCAAAGTGATGAAGAACTATCCTCAGCATAAAGAAGAACAAGTACTGAAGTGATGGTCCGGCCCCCACAGAGCCCTGATCAACATCGAGTGTGTCTGAGATTACATGAAGAGACAGAAGGATGTGCTTAGTTCACTGAGATGTTTGGAACGAGCTACCAGCCGAGTTCCTTCAACAACTGTGTGCACGTGTACGTAGCAGAAGGCAACGGCTGCTCACACCTAGCGATGGGCACCGGTATCGGTTCTGACATAAACGGTAGTAACGGTAGCTTTATTTTCCTGAGATGTCAGACACTTTGGATTCTAGCCAATCATTTTACCTTTGCGAGCGTAGTAGGCGGGGCCAGGTACGTAAGTTCTTTTAGAGCAGAGCTACAGATTAAAAATGCCCAAGGAGGACCGGTCAAATTCTTCACAGCAAAAGATGCAAACTCAGCAGCAACAAGTGCTTTAAGCTGATACTGTGATACTGTCAAAGGAGGTAACACCTCGAATCTGATGAACGCATAGCGGGGTTTTTTAAAGCCGAGAAATGCGCCGTATTTGATAGCTTGCTGCGAGACCTCACACCGAGCACATCTACTGCGGGTGTGGTGCCTGTTATCGGACCCGGAGCAACATCCCCCAAAAATCCGAAGAGGAGAGTCCTGGCCCCTAGCCCTGCCAGTGTAGCAGAAATGATGAGGATGATGATGCAGCAGCAGCCGTTCTTCTCTGCGTGAGTAGCTTAATGTTGTTGGTGTGTAATTTACGTTGAGTAGGCTAACCACGTTATTACATTAATGCATGTAAGGTGAACTAGCAAACATCATCATAGCTACATGCTGCTGTCTTCTTGTTTGATGGCAGATACTCCCTTCACCCTGGCCAAAAAGGCTAAAATGACCAAAGAAAAAGAGGGAAACAGCTAAACATGAGAGGTTTAGGACAAAGTTTGTGTTTTCCGTTCTTTAAGCACTGGTTCGAGCACCGTTTAAGCACCAGTTTGGTACTGGTATCGGATAAAACCTAAACGATACCCATCCCTACTCACACCAAACGTTGATGTGATTTAGATTTCTCTTTTGTTCACTCACTGCATTTTGTTGACTGATGAGAATAAATGGTTAACACTCCCAGTTTTGAAAGCATCCCTTGTTTACAGCATTTTCTCACCTGCCTCAGACTTCTGCACAGTGCTGTACCTGCCAGGTATTTGGTGGGAGGGACTCACCAGTTCTACGGTATTCCTCCTGTTAGTTTCTCTCAGGGTCTCGTCCACAAAGCTCTCCCAGCGACCTCTGCAGTCTTCTGGCAGCTCTGCAAAAGCAAACACTGGTCAGTGATTTTCAGTTAAAATGGAAGATTTAATAGTCACACTGAACAACTGTATAAATACCTCTGATGAGGTCAGAGATCTGGGTCTGTACTGGTCCTTTCTCCAGGTTCTGGACCACCATGTTGGCTATTCTAGTCAGGTGACCCATGTTGCCTCTCCTGGTACCACCATCAGCCCTGACAGTCACAGACACAGTTATTACCTTCAACTCAAAGCACTGATTGTAAGAAAAAAAACACAGGAACCTACAGAAGGAAGACTTACTGTATTCTATCGTTCTCCTCCCAGGCATCAAGGATCCTTTGAAGCAGTCGACACTTCTGGAAGAGCTAAGAGTTTAAAACAGCAACATGTGAGCGCTGTGATTCTGTGGAAATGTTTCAATGTCGTGTGATGAGGGCGGGACGTGCATAACCACTTACATGTGCCACGAGCGCACCGTGGATGCAGGTCTGTGGGTCGCTCGTCCCATCCGTTGTCGCGTCCTCCTCTTGCGCCTGAGGGCTGGACGCTGTAGCGCTCTCTTCGTGGTTCTGCAGGCCTAGGCCTGGCCGCTCCTCTGAGGAAGGATGGTTCAGGATAGAGGCCACACACAGCTCCACTTGGAAGTGCAAAAAGTTATTCCAGGAGTATTTGAAGAACAGATCCTACAGGAGGCAGACACAGGATTTCCAGTACGTGCATTTCATTTTAAACATTTTAGCAAGTTACTGAGAAAAAACATGAACAGCTGATTCTGTGCCCTTTAACACGTGCTGGTAATATTGGAGCCTTACCAGTGACCGTGAACCAGTACAGCAGGGCAGGGTTATTTGAACCTGCTTTCACAGATGGGTAAAGAGTGCTTCCCAACCTTTTGACTAACGTCGTACAAATCCCATGCAATTTCCCAAAACACTGTACAATATACAAACGGCATCTTCTAGAAAGGTTAGCCTTACCAGTAGCAGGTCCATGGTGGCCAGGTTACAGAGCTCCTGGCAGATATTGGGTGCATTGGTCTGGAGCAGGGCAGCCACCAGCCGGGCCACATGAAGGCGAGCATTCCCCAGTGGCTGATCTAGAAGGCCAAAGGTCGTCAATATTGCACTTTTCTGAGGAAAGAGTGAAAGTAGCATATGGACATTGTTTTTTAATAATAATAATAATAATAATAATAATAATGATGTATACTTTATTGATCCCCGTGGGGAAATTACTCTCTGCATTTGACCCATTCACTCAGTGAAGCAGTGGGCAGCCACTAAGCAGGCGCACCGGGGAGCAGTGTGTAGGGACGGTACCTCGCTCAGGCGTACCAGGGGGTAGCCGTTCGGTAGATTCGAACCCCCAACCTTCCGATCACGGGGCAACCACTCTACCTACTGAGCTATCCCTGCCCCAAATCAAGTCAAAACTATAACATGACATTTAACAGCAGCGTCAGCTGTACAATACTGGAAAATGAGACCAGCGCTGAAAAGTGCAGTACCATTACAAACATGCAGCTGAGTGACTCCAGTGTTCAAAGGCTGCACCATGCTCATGCTTACACTCTGACTACACTGCAGTCTTTACCTTGGGGGGATCCTGAAGAAGCTGCTGGAAGTCCTTTAAATGGGGCTCAATGGCATTTAAAATACTGCTGTTGACAGTGTAAGACCTTTCATAACCCTGAGAATACAGATCCATCAGCCCTTCCAACCTGACAGACACAAGCAGAGACAATCAGCATATCAGCTCAGTGACTGTGACGGGTTTTTTCTACTGTCTCGACTGAGAGGCGAGTAAAATACAAATTTACTACATGACGTCACTTAAGAGTCAGGAAGACACCAAAATTAGCACAATTTACATCCTGAATGATTAAGAACTGGAGGGACTCACCCAGACCTCCTGGTCTCCAGTAAGGTAAGTAGCACTTGAGTTCCATTAACGATGGAGGCCTCGCTCCTCTCCCCCTCAAACATGTTCTTGAGAAGCCCCGCCACGCTCTCCTGCCTGGAACACATTTATGCACCATTAACAGGCCAGCTAGCAACAATGTTTTAGCTTCTGATGCAAAAGGAAGCATTTTCAAAAGGCACAAAGTCAACCTCACACACACCCACACAAAATCAAAGCTGCAGTCAAACAGGCTCTGCCAGCAGGTCTGTGTGTACACATGCTACAACCTGAGGTTTTTAATGCCTCTCCATTTCAGGTCAAGAACTAAGCAAACAACAGTCAACAATGACGCTGGTGTGTGGTGTGGACAGAGCAGGAAGAGCAGGCATGAGTGATGTGGGAAAGCTATCCCCACAGTTCCTACAGAGAGTTGTACGTTACTACAAACATACAAGCGCTCCGCAGACTTACGATTCTAGCACAGCCAATAGTGGGTCGGCTTCTACGTTCTCCTGCATCTGACTGGCCTGATCTCGGCTAAGGCGGATGATGTCACACAGCGTTTGGGACGCATTTGATTGTCTCTGAAAAATAAATAATCCAATTAAATTATTGGAACCCATCAATAAAAATGATTAGGAAACATCGAGACGACACTCGGCCAGCACAGCGAGCGCTGCACCCACTCACCTCCTCATCTTTGCCAGCATGGATGAGCTCTGTGAGTCTCTGAACCAACGTTTCCTCGTTTAACCACTAGGATTCAAAAGAAACAGATCACTTAAAAGCATGCGACAGGTTCGAGCTTACTCACAGGACATACGAGCCATTTCGGTCGCTTACATGCAGAACATCCTGTCTCAAAGGGGCAGGCTCCACACAACTGATGAGGCGAAGCAGCAGGTCCATCATGGCAGAGGCGTCAATGTGTTTCAGCACCAGACCAATAAAGCCTTCTTTTTTCTTTAAAAATGTAATAACCTGGAAAATGACACAATGTGAAAGACTGTGGATTTTAACAGACAGCTAATGTCAATCTTAGATTTTCACATTTGAGGGTTTTTATGCTCTCTAGGCATGTTTTCACTGGACTCTTCCTCCGGGACTAGGAACCTTTGGAGGAACAGACTGACTTTCCAAAGTGGGGACGAGCATTTCTATTGAGTCCCAGGAAACTCAGCAGACCCCACAAAACGCCCTGCTCCAGTTGCTATTACTCTCTGAAACTTTGGTGTGTGGAAATGTTCCTAAATGATTCGCTTAATCTGAGAGGAATTCATATCTTGTTTACTAGTTACCTGTTCGGTTTTCCTGGCAATGAGATTGCCGATGGTTTTGCTGAAGAAGCTGGCTAGTAGAGGATTGAGAGGTGGGTCCTGTTCCAGGAAGTGGTAGAGCATCTCGAGGAGAGACTCGTCTCCACCCAGCTTATCGTTTATAATGGAAACATCTGAGGTCAGAAGCTCACAAGCAACATTGGGAAACCTTGCAGAGGGAAAAACACAACAGACTGACGTTAAGATCAGATCTCTGTGTCAAACTAAAGATTTCAAAGTATCACTGCAAGTATGAGTGAAGGAAAAATGAAGGTGATGGGGTTACAGGTTCAAGGTGTGTGAGGATTTAATCACAGCAGCAAAACGTGGATATATGCAAAAAGCTGGAAGTTTCTTTTTGCTGCGTTCCTTTCAAACAACAGTGCATATAAACTTCAGCATTTAATCTAAAAATACCAGCGCGTGCATATCAAACAACAACAGCATTTTCCTGGTAAAGTTCATAAATCCTAAATAAATCCTGTGTATGTGGAGAGAGTTAGATTTCTTTATTATGTGACCCATGAGCTGAATTATTAACTGAACAAGTGAGTTAACTGTGGTGCTTGTATCTAATTGACATCAAGGCAAATCAATTCAACTCAGGCTCAACATCTGTCTTTGGAAATAGGTGCATGTTCCACTTCGTGTTCGTCTTGCTCCCAGTCTTCTAATCTAACTCTTAAGTAATGTCTCCACTCTCCCAGCAGTCTCTAAGAGTCAGTGTGGGCTCTCACTTAAAGCGGCTTCGCTCCTCCAGATCAGCAGGTGGCTCTGTGGTGATGAGGCTGACCAGCTCCTGCATGCAGTGGTCCTGGGAAAGGAAGAGGAGCAGCCGACGGTTTTGGGCCTTGCACTCCTGCAGAACGTCATCCTCCTCCATCAGCTCTCTCAGCGTCACGTCCTCCCTGTCCAGCAGCTGGTCAATGTGGGAGGTGGTGTGCAGGTCAAACTTCCAAAACATGGTGGCCGCTGGGAGGGGGGACACAGCCCTGGGCCGACAGAGCGAGGAGAGAGGAGTAGGACAGTTAAGAGTGAAAGGTTGGGATGAGGAAGCAGGGGCTCCAAGCTGACGTAAACAAACAAGAGGATTAGTACAGCACTAGTACTTCTATCCTTTTATACCAAAGACAATGTTCACAGCAACGGTAATATTCTGGGATTAACTTTAATCTGTCCTGTAAACAGCATTCTCTCACGGGCCTAATGTGACTCGGGTGATCAAAGTAAGATCTGGCCAACTGTAGTCACAATGTTGCAATAATGTAGAGCACATCATACAGCCTGCACTGAATTTTTCATAGGTTTATGAGACAGAAACATATGGTCTTGTCAGTGTTCGTGCTAAGCTGCGAGACATCAGGCAGTGTCGATGGCTGCAGAAGTTCAAACCTGGACCGTAACTGACGCTCTAACGTAACATGGAGGTGATATCAGTTAAGACAGAAAACGTTGTCATGATTTAAACGCACATTGGTCCAAGTAAACACAGTCATAGTGTAACTAGAAAAAGACACAAATGCCTGACAGTAAAGTGTTCACACATACCAGTGGATGAAATGTGGATATCTTTAATCAGACCTCCCCCACGGGCAGGCAGGCATTTGTGTTTGTGCAGACGACAGAGAGTGTGGCGAGGCCTGGCATTTATCAGCATGGGTCTCCTTTTAAAACGCGGGCCTCTTTAGGAGACGGGTCGCTGAGAGGCTCACCATACCCTGCACAACATGAAGGTTGATTATTAACTGACAAAAGGTACCAGGAGTCAATTCTTTTAGTAATCAGGTAACCTATTGCTTATTACATCCATTAATTGGATAAGAAATACTTTTGTCTTATTAATGAGAAATAATACATAATAATAATTTACATCATGTATCGTGTTCAAAAGACAAAAAACCCCACTGTAGTTTTTTATAATGGAAACCAAAGTTTTTAATATTCTGACTGCACACAACGTCTGCGCAGGCAGGTAAGCGCTCGCACTGCACGCACCTGCCATAAAAAACTTATTCTCTTTAAAGAATAAATAATCAAAAGTACAGTAAGTAAGTCACACAAACTACTGAAACCTAAGGCACGAAGTAAAACTGCCTCTACCCTTCTTGGAGGGCATTTTGTGTAAGTGGGCTAGTGAATGAGTGTGCATGTGTGAAAGAAACACATGCAATGAAGAAAAGCAAGAATATCAGGATTCTCTGAGGTTTGCCCCGACGTTGGATGCAACATTTCCTGCTCTAAAAAAACAGACGTTCTGATGGCGTTTTCGCACCTTGAGCAACTGTTGTTGGCTCTATATAAATAAAATACAACTGAACGGTAAAAATGTTAATGACTGATGTTAACACATCATAGAACATATTAACTTCAGTGTCCTGCCTAAAAGACCCAAGTCAGTCACCCATGTGTACTTTTACTGTCTTAGAAAAAAACAAATATATATGTAATACAATATGTTTCACTGAAGCCTTGACATAAATATGGTCTAGTACACCCCTTGCCCCCCTTTATACTCACTCCTTCTTGTTACAGGTATCACTGCCATATAAAGCAGGGCGGTTGGTAACAAGCTGCCTGAATTAAACATCATATCAGACTAATTTAACGGTTCATCTGCATATTTTATTTTGACTGCGTAAAACAAATTGTGGCGTCTGGCAGCAGCTACAAAGTTAGCCTTTCTTCACGTTGGAGCTTCCTGAAAGTGTTTTTTCACTCAAAACTGACTTTTTCCAAGTAAAGACGTTTCTCAATATAAACACGAGACATTCTTTATTTGAACTGAAGAAGTGAGTTACCGTATCTCTTTTGCTTTTGACCAGTGAGAATTACAATTAAGTTTATTAGATACTTATGTTAGCTAAAATATTGCTGTATAAAGTTGTTATTACGTTCAACTTCTGAGAGAAAATGACTAATATTTAAACTAAAATGAATCCTATATTATCACCAAGAGTAAAAAGAAGGCTTTAAGCTTTACGTTGAGCATAAATAGTGATTTATATCAATACCAACTGACAGGGAACAGCGTGAGATATTGTTATAAGATTATTTTCCATCTCGCCCAGCTCTACTTGTACCACAGTTGACCTCGTTATTTGAAGACTTCTCCATGGCTATCTGGCAATCCACCACTTTGACTTTCTATATATGACAGGGTAACACCTTGTACAAATGCTATGTGGAGGCTCATTAGTCTACACATTGACTGCTTAGGTCAACTTCCCCCTCTTCTCTGGTGTAACAGCTCAATGTAACATATTGTTAGAATCCGTTAAAAAAGAGAAAAGTAATAATAAAGTACAAAATGCTTTTGTGACCAGGCTGTTTGTTTTGTTTTTCCCCCATGCAGTTACTGTGGTAGCTAATCTAGACAACCTAACACACCAGCAGAGACACGAAACAGCTACATCTGCTGACTTTGTCAAAGCCAAAGTGTCTCAGCGGGCAGTGCAACAGATCTAACTGTTGACCATGGAAGTAAAACTACAGGAGGAAATCAAAGTGCTTCCCCTTTTTTCTTTTCCCATTTTCCTGAGGAGGATCTTTGCACATGCAGCAGCAGCGTCCATCTGGCATGCATTTACAGAGTACACAAGCGCAATAATAACCCGCTGAATGCTCCCTGTGGACACCGAGCAGGAAAGCAAATGCTTGACTTTACATCCAAAATAGAACAAACCAGAGGCAACCTCAACAAAAACAGTCTTCTGGCACATGTAAGAGATGATGGAAAAAAAAGGAACAATGGCACACAAAGGGCACACATGTGGATAATGCGAGCCAACAGCAGCCTGTAATTAGGAGAGTTAAAAAAAGCTGTACAATCAAGCGAAAGGGAATCCCACCTGTCTGTTGCCATGAACTCTCCTTTTACTCACTGTGAATGTAAATAACAGTCCAGCTGATAGCGAACCAGTGTTCACTGGGTTGTACTAGAAACCTTGTGACACCAGCTACCAAATGATTAACCAATCCGCACACTTCAGAGGGCAAACAGAAGCTGCAGTTTTTGCAGTTTGCTGCTTAATTGCATTTTAAAGCACTGAAGCTGTAAAAAATGTTTTATGTTGACCAGACATATCTAAGACAGGCGATGGTCCCAAAATATTTTAAGTTAACATTATGGAGTACCTTTGTCAGCCATCAACCATGATATGGCTTCAGACTTTGATCACATGATGGGGATGTGGTAACGCGTCACACTTTATAAACTGTTGTAACTGAAGTGATTTCTTAAGATTGTTTGACAATAAGAGACACTGGTGTGTAACTGAAGACATGTAAGCTGAGCTTCCACAGCACTGGCATGATCAACATGCACATCAACTGACTGACGGTGGGGGCTCAGATTTCTGTTTACTTTAACTCCAGAGGAGGGCACAAATGCCCAAATGATACCAGACTAACATGGGATCGATGCTACAGCACATACACTGCTGAAGTCACCAGTAACTCCAACATGAAAGATAAAACTACCACTTCACCTACAGAGTGTGTAGTTACTTCCAGCTCAGTAAGTCTGCGTTGCTGGCCTCAGCCGACTCCGAACACCCCTAAAGTAACGTTGGCTCTTTAGTTACCGAGCTATAAAAAACACATGCAGCATTTAAAGAGACGTATCGGTCAGAAAATGAGTTCTGTTAACGTCGACGGGACTAAACATTAACAGTTAACGACTATGTTACATTAACATCGATTAAGTAATCCAACAGCCATTACTGAGTCCTTGTGCGAAGTTAGCCGATAGACCAGCACTGGTATCTCGATCAGTGTTAATTCACGATATTTAGACACCAACTTCTAAAGTTGGGGAACAACTCAGCTAAGGTTAGTTCCTCCTTTTCTCTGATTAGCACATAAGCTAATTAGCTACCAACGGTTAACGTGTACTGAGCGGCCAACTTAAATAGCTCTCTAACTTGGGTTTAACTTTGTCGCTGCTGCAGCAGCAGGGTTAAGATTAGCTCTACGCTCAAACTCACGATAAGAATTCCCGGTTAAAACGTACCTTTGGTTGAATGTCCGCTGCGAGTAATTCCGTGTGATCCGAGTTGTTGCTGTTTTTCGTTAAGCAGCCAGCTACTAAATCACTAGCTGTCCAGCTACTGTTAGCTAGCCGTATGAGCTAACATACGTTAGCCTGTGAGCGAATAGTGATTTGTTTTGAAGAAGGGGTCAGTCTGCGACAGCACAGACCTCCGTTAGCTAGCTCAACTTAGCTAACGATAGTCAAATGTGGCTAAGAAGACTACAAAATAAACTGTTCCCCCGCGTGAATGACTACGTGGTGTTAATAACAATCCGAGTTATTTCAAATGCAAAGTGTATGATACGTACTCGCACACAAAGTAATTCAAACGCGGGGCTAAGTTTAGCACGCAAAGCAGGAAAAACTCAGTCATATTTTTCGAATCAAAATGGCGACATGGTTGCGGGCACGCGCGTCGGGGACGTGCCTCGACTTGAGACCGTGCACCGAGCTCTCCAAAACATCTTAAAGCGCTGAGTGATGCAACGCTGCTATCACACATCAAACTGTCCTCGTTTTCACATGAGATACATATTATTTCAAAACCTGCAGCTATAAACCTGCTGTCTGAAGAGTGCCGTTTATATTTAATTGCATTTTAACTAATAAACATTTACAGGCAAGATCATTCTGTAATTTTAAAACAATCGGTGGAAAATGCACAATAAAGACTTGACACCAGTCGGGTTTTCTGCTTTGTAGTGTACCATGGCTGCAGTTCGGAGTCTCACTTCGTTTATTTACGTTTTGCTTCCAGTGCACCTGAGACATGCACAATGGCACTGTTAGATTTACCTCCCAAGAAATCAACATTATCGAAGCAGCCTGAGACTATCTTGTTAGAGAATGGAACAAAAAGTGGCCAACATTCACAGAAGAGTGCTTTTCCTTTATTTTAATGACATGGACTAATTATGTCTGAAATAAAATAAGATCCATGATCTTCCTGGACAAGAAAACTGCTTAAAAGAGCAACAGCCTGTGCTGAAGAAGGTGCTCATACCTGATACTGACTTGCAAGGTTTTCAGAATTGTACAATCTGTACTCTCTACTACTTTCATTTTACACAGCATGTGTCTGGCCCCACACATGCCAAAGGACACACACCTCGTTTTTTCTTTAGGCTTAACCATTGACTTTATCTGAGTGTCCTTACCTGAGCTGGTCAAATTAGTTGATTCAATGAACCCGTCCTCCTGCCCTCTTGATGTTTTATCTGGACCTTTGTTTAGAAAGGTCTTTCAGTCCACTGGTCCTAGTGTGCTTACAATCATCAACGCCTCTCTGCTTTCTGGTCAGGTGCCTGTTTTTTGTAAAAGTGCTGTTAAAAACCCCGAACTTGATGCTTCTCTGTTTATCAACTATCTCAAAATTACCATTTATCGCCAAGATTTTAGAGAATGTTGTGGCCAAGCAACTCACAGCGGTTCTTGATCAACATAACATTCTTGGTGATTTCCAATCTGGTTTACGTAGAGCTCATTCCACTGAAACTGCACTTCTTAGAGTGTCCAGTGATATACTGATGAATTATGATGCTGAGTGCACTGCTCTACTGTTGTTGGACCCGACCTCTGCCTTCGATACTGTCGACCATCATATTCTGTTAGATAGACTAAAACACTGGGTGGGTATATCAGGAACGGCCTTGGAGTGGTTTAAATCTATGTGATCCTTCTCTGTGGCTTCCTCCAAGCTCAGGTCCTCTCTCACCTCTCTTGGTGTGCCACAGGTTCTGTCCTGGGACATGTACTGTTTTTGTTATATTTACTCCCTCTTCAGGAACTTCTCAGCACTTTTAAGGACATTTCGTATCATTGCTATGCAGATGATTTTCAGCTATATATCTGCTTTAAGCCACATGATGTTTCTAAACTTCTAATCTTGCAGAGATGCTTAGATTCTATCAGAGGTTGGAATGCAGAAGATTATCTTCAACTTAATGCTGAGAAATCTGAAGTCCTTGTCTTTGCTCCTGATAAATTTGTACCTTTGGTATTAAAACATTTAGGCCCCCTCGCTTTTGTTTAATCTTCTATTAGGAAGATTGGTGTTACAGCTCTGTCCTTGGATATTCATGTTAAGCAGATTCATGCCTCCTTGGAACGTGTGCAGGGTGTTCAAAATGCTGCTGCAAGGCTGTTGACCAAGGCTTCCAGTTTCCCCATAATATAATCCTGACCCTCAGGACTGCATGGACTGGCTCCAATTTACAGCAGTGATCTTCCTCATCCTGATATTCCCAGCAGGTCCCTGAGGGCTTGCTGGTTGTCCAGCACACTAGATTAAAAACAAAAGGTGACAGAGCTTTTGTTTCTGTGGCTCCCAGACTCTGGGACTCTCTTCCACTCAGATCTGTAGACTCTGTCAGTTCTTTTAAAAAACAGTTAAAACCCTTCTTTTTAAACTTGCCTTTGGTTGATGTTGTTTTATGTTCTAGCTTCTGTGAAACACTTTGTGATTTTATCTTGAAAGGTGCTATACAAATACAATTTTACTTACTTTTATTTTACTTACTAGCAAAATAAAACCCATATGGGCAGACTCAGGACTTTTGCCTGAGTGTGCAGCAGTTTACAATGAAAGTCAAAATGCAACCTTCTTTCTGTGTTTGATGACATTCATTTTAGACAAAGTATGTATTAGAAACTCTATGAAACAATGTGAATTAGTTCAGCTGTGAAACAAGCTTCATTCTAAGTAAATATGCATGGATAGCACATGTTGGATGATCTAACAAGTGTTTAAACTATGGCAGCAGATATTTTTTTATTAAGGATACATCCATCCATCCATCTTCATCCGCTTTGTCCGGGGCCGGGTCGCGGGGGCAGCAGCCTAAGCAAAGGATACAATTAGCTTTTTTTTCCTGCTAAAACAATGTAAATAGTGGATAAATAATAACCTGAACTTTACAGCAACATGTTTATGAAATATGATAGAAAGTCCAAGCCTTCAGATTTTCCAGTCACTCTCATGACTGACAGGATGTGACCTGTGGCAGGTAGTAGCGTAAAACGTAAAGGAGGAACTGCGTCGATACAGAAAACAAATGGACGATCGTTTCTGTTAAATATCACAACGACGTCCTGTCTTTACTTTCAGTATTGTTACCCAGCCATTTAGGCCAACTGTACACGGGCATAATAAACGCGCGGCTGTTTTTCTTTGTTGGTTTTAACGTGAACTAACTACAGTTTATTTTTAGCTCTTAATTTTTTAACCCTGTTTGCGTCGTCCTTCTTTCGCTTCCTTCTTTCCTATCCTCATTCCTTCCCTTTCACTTCACCTCCTCTCCTCGTCAGTTTCTCGTATCCCACAATGCATTGCGATCACTCGTTGGATCATGGACCAAAGCGGTAAGCAAAATGCAAAGTAGGGCCGAGACGTTAGCAAAACTTGTTATTCATGCTATATATTTTTTAACCTGCGTAGCCGTTTTCATACCAGCTCTAAGAGCTAACGTGACTACAAAGCCCCCTCGTGGAAAGTGGTTTTGCTAAGCTAACCCGTAATCTCCCAGGGGAACATTAAAGCTTGAATGGTGCGGGCTAGCCAAAAAAGGCTTGAGTACTTCTCGCCAAAAGTTAACGTTACGCCCTAAGTTGGTCTGGAGGGTTACACGAAATGTTCCACCAGAGTTTATGCAATTATTAAACTCAACTGCAAACTATATATTCTCACATGTTAGTGGGTTTACGGCTAGCTGCGATTTAGTTGGGGCGCGAATGCGGCTTGATTGTTAGCATATGCTAACCACTTAGCTGTATAAAGAAACTATCTTATAACGAGTCTCTTGACTGTTAACCCACATACACGAGCCCTTTTTTGCTGATAGTATTAAGGGCGAAACGCTAACGTTGTTAATCTAATTTCCAATTGTTTATATTACTGCAGTGTCACTAAAGTGATAAACCATTGCCAACTATAAATATCTGCGGCTCTGAGCTCCTCGCTTGTTGTGGCTTTGCTAAGGGACAGGTACAAGTTTCTGTGTCGTAGGCGACATTGTGAGAGTGGGTGCAGGTGGAAGGTATCACGCCTGGAAAGGTTGTGTGTGAATGAAGCGTGTGGAAAGGTGAAGATGAGTATACGTAATGAAGGTGGATGAGTTGTATATTTGGGGTCAGCCATCCAAAGCAACGGGCAATACACAAGAATGGCAAAGAGTCCATGCAGGGTAGAGATGAGTGTCAAAGATGATTTGTTACTGAATAATAATGGCGCGAGTGAAAGGAAGAGTTACAAGATGGTAGTCCACTAAAGATGTTAACATTTTCATTGGGAGTGACCAACACGTACAGCATTAGATGTCTCATATTGAGCAGTTTGGAGACAAAGGCAAGGCTGGGACAGAAGATGGAGCTGCCAGGCAGAGGTTGGTGTGATAGAAGATGGGGATTGGATGAGACGGAGGCAGATGATCTACTGTGGAACCCAAAAAGAAGCATCCTGTTTAACCTATGAGTCACTGAGTTTCACCATAAAGTCTAATTCCAGAATGAAATTATTTGTAATCTATGTAACCAATGTAAACAGGCAAGGGACTCTGTTACAAGCACTGTCACAATCCAGTGACGTCCTAAAGGCTTTAAAAACAACTCTTTGTAGATGGATATGTGTAACTGTTAAATTTTGGTGTGGCTCTTGAGTCCACCACATGAGGTATCCCTCACTAACTCTGTAACTGTCCAATGTACAGCGCAGAACATATAGCAGTCTGTTTCAGTTGATATACTCTTTTTCTTCCACAGACAATGATCTTCAAGGAAGCGATGGCTCTGGGAGTTTGGGAGGCCCGGATGTTCGCAGACGAATCCCCATCAAACTTCTGTCCAAGCAGCCAATAAGGAGCAAACCTCAGCAGCGCCCCCAGAGACCTGTCAGCAGAACTTGTAAAAGTGAGCCTGGAGAAGATGGTAGGCACACTATGTGGTACAAAATGCTCATTAGCACTAATGTTTTTATGATGTCACACTGTATAGGCAAAAGTATTGGGCCACACCTCTTAATCAAAACTTTTTCAATCCTATTGCCACTGTATATAAATTTGAATAGCTGGCTGCCTTTACAAACATGGGTCATTCACTGAATTCAAGAGTGGAGCTGTAAAATATTGTGGCAGTTGAAATAAGTCAATTCATGAAATGTTTCTTACATTTGCAGCCCACATAAAGCTACAAAGCAGTGCCAAGGTGCATGGTTTGTAAAAATTGCCAATGCAGAGTTCCATTCACACCAGCACAAACTCTGCACTGTGGGTTTTGTGGCTGAGCAGCTATAATATGTAGGTAGCCTAGTACGTTTGCCTGTAAAGTATATAAACATAGCATGCTTAATGATATTCAACTCTTTGTTGGTTAGTTTTTAAAGTAGCTAATGCATTGTTGTTGGTGTCTTTCAGCTGGTGTTTGTAAAGGTCAACCTTTCCTCTTTTCAAAATAATGGAGTTCCTTTTCTGCAATATAAGTTTTGAGATAGGGCTGTTTGATATAACGATATATATGACGATATATAAACATCTATTGTTTCATTTTACGCTGTCGTTTGTTTCGTGGTGTCGCAAAATAAACTGTTTACAGCGATATTTTTCATGGTTCTGATGGTCACTGTAGTTATTATTAATTTCTTAAAGTTCTCTATTTCTCTTATATTTAATATAACCACACTACGGATGGACAAGCGCCTGTTTTTATATGCGTGTCCGCTTGTTTATGTTCCACATAAACCTTTCACAATAAAGCTCAAGATCCTGTTGAGACTTTTCAAAATAAACTGAATCACGTGAAAGATGCAGAGTTGTTACGGATGAGAAGTAAAAAAAGAGCCGCCAAAGTGCTAAAAAATAAACCTTAGACTCAAACGTTAGAACAGGCAGGAAACACTTCACCAAGTCGAGCTGCCCGAGATTCACAGACTTTACAGAAAATGTAACATTTTTGTGATTTATATCGTTATCGGACGATAGATGTCTTATATCGGGAGATGAGATTTTGGTCATATCGCACAGCCCTATTTTGAGATGTTCCTTTTTCATATCATTGTCACATTTCACTGGGATATATGTGCAGGATATGGAGTAGACGTTTCTTTCATCCCCACTCCAGTGGGTTGGGCTGCACACTTGATTTGGCTGCCCACAGTGTGCTTTGTCTCTCCTCCTGGCCCTGAACCACGAATGTTTCACAAGTTAGGCAAATGTAAAAAACATTACACAACGGAGCCACCATGCAGTATATTAAGTATCTCTGTGGAGGGAGAAAAAAACGTTCATTTTTTCTTCTGGTGGTAGGAGTCATTGTAGACTCGATGACGTGTTACACAGGTATCAGCGACGTACTCGTGGGCTGAACAGAGATGATGTGCCAGTGGTAGCAACAGACTTACAGGTTGACATGTGGGCATCTTTCTTTACCAGTTGTTGTGCAGTGACACTTGCAGTGGTAGTTTGAACGTTTCTTTGGGCAGATAGAGCTCACAGTTCATCCATATTTGCTGGCTCATCTTTGTTATTTGGACTTGATACAAAATACTCAAAAAAAGGATCTCAAGCATTTTTGTATGTTGTTGTACTTTTGTACAGCTGTCTCTGTCGCTCACAGCCGTCATTTATTCTTGGCCTGACCTGTCGTGGCGTATCAATTACAATACATCATAACAGTATCAGTTTAACAGAAAGTGTAACACTTGTATTATTGATGCTTTTACAGTCATCCAGTCTGGAATCATAATACGTTGGCACACAGTAGCACTGTGACAGCCTACTGCCATATGTCATCATGCTGTTTAAGGATTAACTGCGGCACTTGCACACAGTACAGAAGATGGATGTCCTTTTTATTATTTTCCTCATAAATTCAGTTTAGATGTTATTAAATGTTATTTATGTGAAGTTTCTGTTGTTGCCATACCGATGCTGATTCTTTTTTCTTTTTTTAACAAAGTAATCATGAAGTCGATGATGAGGACAGCATCAAGTAAGCGTTTTAGATTTTATTTGTACCTTTCATTTTAGTTTCCATGTACATGTAATTGTCTTATACACACAGAATATTTTAAGCTCCTTTGGATAGTGACACTGTGCTATGTTCTTGCCCTCCTCTTTGGGAAAAGTGTCAGGTTTTTTTAAATACTGTTTTATTAATGCTACTCTTGTTTTTTTTCTTTCTACTACAGATAACTTTGGCTTTAAGCAAGAGGACAGGTTTGACTGTGGAACTAAAGCTGGTGATGTGTTTGCAAGTCAGAGGAGATTTCCACAACCGTTGTTCTGGGACTATAAGGTACGTCTGCTGTGTGAGGGGAAACAATATTAATGATTAAGTAGCATCATTACCAGCATCTGGCACGCCAGTAAGACGTGTAGTATTGGAATTAAAGAAAAAGTATACAATGATCTGGTTTTAGTGGTCATTACATGCGTGTCATATTTTTGTGTCCTCTTATTTCAACAGTTAAACTTGATTGGAGAAAAGGATGACGTTCCGATTCACTTCTGTGACAAATGCGGTCTCCCTATTCAGCTGTATGGACGGATGGTACATGTTTTATTGCTGTGTCTCTGCACAACATCTCAGAGTCATGTTACTGTCTAACTCTTGCCAATTTGACTCCTCAGATTCCCTGCAAACATGTTTTCTGTTATGACTGTGCTCTACTTCATGAGAAGAAAGGAGAGAAGATGTGCCCAGGGTGAGACTATTTAACTTTGGTACATGGCAATGAGGGTAAAATAAGGATGGCTGGATGCCAGAAAAGTCGACTCCTGCAAGTACTTTGAGCAGCAGGGGCATAAAATCACTACAGTATAAAGCCACTAAGATGTCCCTGATTTAGGCTCCGGCCACACTAATGTGTTTTTGTTTGAAAACGCATCGTTTTCTTTCCGTTTTGGCCTCCCGTCAACACTGAAACGACGGTTTTGCTCAAGGAAAACGCAGCGTATTCAAAACGATTTCGAAAACGCACACATTTGAAAACGGTGCTTTTGCGTCG